AAGAAGCCAGAACAAAGCCTAGAGGCAGCAGGAGAGGGAGTGCAAGAAAACAAACAAACATTTTTAGTTGAAAACTCAACTAGCCCAATTAAACCCACTCCTGCAGTTTAGACCAGCCTAAGGCTGAAAAAATCTTCATTCTTTCTCTGAGAATACTAATGTCGACAAACCATAATCACTTTTTCTTTCCCCAAAGGATTATTTCCATGAAAAAAATCCTTTCCCACAAAACAGAAGTGACTACAAGAACTAGGGACATATGAGATGATGGATGTTAACCAAATTTATTGTGGTAATCACGTCACCTATATATGTGTGTGACCTATATACACATATAGGTCAAATCACTATGCTGTACACCCTAACATATACAGTGCTGTATGTCAATATATCTCAATAAAACTGGGGGAAAATGTATTTAACCTTACAACCCATCAAAAATATGCAAAATTTAAAAATAACAAAATCCCCTCTTACCCCTCCACCCTCCAAAAAAGAATTAGAAATGTAGATGTAGAGCAGAAGTAATTCTCATAGGCTGCTGCTAGGAGGACAAACTGATAACCACTTTGGAGAATGAGATAAAATAAAGATTTCTTACTTGACTGCCTCATAAATGTTGTTGGAGGTATGTCCTGACAATGCGTCATGTAAATTTCGAATAAAATAATCTCTGTATTCTTCTGGAAGGGCCATAAATGTTCCACCCATCACAATAAACTCCACTTTATCCACACTGTGACCAAGTTGTTTCAACTGAAAGACATAAATTCATCCGCGTTAGAAAATATAGTAAACTACCCTTAGAGGGTATAGCAAATTTCTAATTTTATTTTGCAGTGCTTTCATCAGTATAGTTTAAAAATGAGAAGCAATTAAACATATTTAGCCAATTCTGTGGATTAAAAAAATAGACTCCAGAGTCTGAAAGAAAAATAACTATAGCTCAAATGAAGAGAATGAAAATTAAAAATAATAAACAAGCTTAATGTTAATACCTACAAAATTAAGTGGAAATACAAAAGCACATAGAATATAAACTAGAAAGCAGTAAAGGCAAATATGATATAATAATACAATATGTAATATAATAAGCAACTATTTATGGATCATGTATTTTAAGCCAGACTTTGTGGTAAGCCTTGGGGACAAAGAAGATGATTATATGCAACATAATTGGGACTTGATGCGAATGAAAAAGAACAGTAGGCTAGAAACAAAAATTAAGAAAGCAGTTTAAATAGAAACTTTAAAGTTTTAAATCAATTGTGAAGATTCTGAGCACAGGTAAGCACCTCAAGTCTGCTTTCCAGAAAAAAAAAAAAAANTGATGGATACAGGAATGGAGAGCTGAATAAGTATGTGATAAAATATTGCAGAACACAGGTATGTGGTGTTCACTGGAAAATTCTTTCAATTTTTGTTTGAAATATAATGCTGGAACAAAAACAACTAATATCTCTTTTTAAGATGACTAAGATTGTATCTTAGATTGGACTGCCAATGTTAAGGATCCTGGTCACCATCTATGAAAATCTGGTTGACCAAGGGAGGAAGAAAAAGTGGTCAATACACAGAGGGTGCCAAAAAATGTATACACATTTTAAGAAAGGAAAAAACTGTATTAAAATTGTAATAGTCAATATATACCGACAACAAAAGATGAATACAAGTCACATTTGACTTCTGCTCAAAGTGGTTACCATCAGCATAATTTTAATATTCCTTTCTTAAAATGTGTATAATTTGTCACCCTCTGTATAAAGTAAGATGTGGGGGAGTAGCAGAACCAAAGCCCAGAAATGCAGGAGGTTCTGAAGCCTGCCAGAAATAAGGCCCAGAGCAGCAACGCAGGCGACAGTCATTTTCAGGCCTTCTTAGGTTGTTTTTGCTTTCTTCATAACTCTGCAAGTCTACGAAATGGTGCTCTGGGCCTGGTACCTACCATTACCTAGCACTCCAGCTTTTCTAAGACACATACGAACATAGTTGGAGGATTCAAAGTCATTGATTGGGGTTGGAGGGGGAGAGGAAGGAACTAAAATGAATTAAAAATTCCACAGGGTGTAGGTATGACTCACCCACTTCTTGATGGCTAACTGTCCTTTTAAATTGCATCTTGTGAAAACAGCCAAGGAGCACGCAAGATTGAATGTAAAACTGCTTCTGGGCAGGGCTGATTAAGAAGGAATAAAACTATTTTAAAAGGTTGTGCTGAGTTATTTGGCAACATTTGTGTTCTGGTGAACGCGTGACTCAGATCCCACTGCCGGTCCTTTTGATCTCCAGAGCTATTATTTTTAGAGGACGACAGTCACCAGTAATTGTTGCTCTCTGGAGATGACTGAAGAGCCTCAGTCTAGCTGATAGAAATCAGTGATTATCATTTTGCTTGATTTAATGAGCCTTCACAGAAACCATACCTGCTTTGTCCTTGAACTATTCACTCAGCTTTCCAATGTTTCCATCNAAAAAAAAAATCAGCCAAAGTAATCTACATTGTCAAAATAAAGGAGGAAAATCATGTGACTATTTAAACAGATACAGAGAAATCATGTGACCACTTACATAGATGCAGCAAAATCATTAGACAATTGAGTTAATGATAAAACTTCTCAGGAAACGTCTTCAATCTAATAAAGCTATCTACAGAAAACCCCAAAAGGAACACTGAACTTAATATTAAAATATTAAATGTTTTTTCTGTATTATTGGTAAAAGGCAGAGGCCCACTCTTACCACTTCTATTTAACACTATTGAATGTCCCAGCCATTGCAATAGGCAAGAAAAAGGCAGGCAGGCAAATCCAAAAGGAAAAATTAAAACACACTGTATTTGACTATTATATGATTGTTTGTGAAGAAAATCCTACCAGATTTACAAAAACAACTTTTAGAACTAAATGCTGAATTTAATAAGGTCATATGCTATAAGGTTAATATACAAAAATCAACTGTATATCTATGCCAGGGGTGCCAAAAAAATGTATACACATTTTAAGAGATGTTATCTCTGTATTACTTTTCGAAGTTGAATTAAATTATGTAGCAATGTGTAGTATGACGTTCACTCAAAAGATGGCATTAATCGAATGAATGCTAGCATCATTCTATTACAACTTTTCTTTCTTAAAATGCTTATTCATTTTTTTGGCACCCTCTGTATCTGCAGGTTCCACATCCACAGATTCAACCATGGATGGAAAATATTTGAAAAAAAAAAAAATGTTGTTGCTGCTGACATGTACTATGTAGTTAGTAAGCCCTTTGATGGTTGCTAGGTGCACCTGTACTGAGCATGTACGGAATTTTTTTTCTTGTTATTCCCTAAGCAATACAGTATAACAACTATTTATATAGCATTTATATTGTATTAGGTATTGTAAGTGTATGGGAAAGATGATTTAAATAAAGTGTATGGGAACTTGAGTGTAGGTTATATGCAAATACTATGCCATTTTACATAAGAGACTTCAGCATCCATGGATTTTGATATCTTGGGGTGGGGGTGGGAGAGTCCTGGAACCAATTCTCTGTGAATACTAAGAGATGACTATACTAGCTGCAAACAATTTGAAAATGAAATTTTTAAAAGTTTCATTTACTGCATCAACAAACAAAAATATTTTGGAATAAATTTAACAAAAAGCTTACAAAATCTCTATACTGACAATTGCTGAAATTAAAAATACACCTCAGTAAATGAGGAGACAAACTATATTCATGGATTAGAAGGCTCAATATTGTTAAACTGTCAATTGTCTCCAAATTGTTCTATAGGTTTACCACAATCCCAATCTCATCAGAAATTGACAAACTAATTCTAAACTTTATATAGAAATATAAAGGACTTATCATATCCAAAGCAATCTTGAAAAACAATGACAAAGTTAGAAGATTTACACTACTTGACTTCAAGATACACTATAAAGTTACAGTAATCGAGACAGTGTGGTATTGTCATAAGGACTGAAAAACAGATCAACAGAATAGAAGAGAGCCCAGTTCCACATTTAAAATCAATTGATTTTTGACAAAGGCACCAATACAATCTAAATGGGAAAGGAAAATATTTAAACAAGTGATGTTGAAACAATTAGATATCTATACGAAAAAAGAAACATCGACTCCTACCTCACACTACACATAAGAATTAATTCAAGATGGATTATAAGCCTAAATATGAAAGCTAAATATAAAAACTAAAACTAGAACTAGAAGAAAACACAGGAGAATATCTTCTTGCTCTGGGAGCAGGCAAAGGTTTGTTATAGACAATACAGAAAGCAATAACTATGAAAGAAAAAAACTGCTTAATCAGATTTCCATCAAAATAAAAAAACTTCTGTTCAATGATTACCATTTACATAATGAATAAGTCAAGCCACACACTGGGCTTTCACATTTGTACAACGTAGATCTAACAAAGGATTGGTATCCAGGAGATAGACAGATAGATAGATAGATATTAATATCTAACAGCCCAATAAAAAATGGGCAAAAGATTTTAACAGACACTTCACAAAATATATACAGAATGCATAAGCACATAATAAATTGCTCAACATCATTAGTCATCAAGAAAATGCAAATTCGGGGGCCAGCCGAGTGGCTCATTTTGCTAAGAGCTCGCTCAAGAGTTTGAGCTCTGAGCAACAGCGGTTCGATGCCTGAGCTGAGCAGCCACTGAGCTGCCAAAAGGTGGCAGGATGGCTCAGCTAAAAAACCCCCAAAAAACAGAAAATGCAAATTAAAACCACAACGAAACCACTGCACACCCACTAAAAAGGCTAAAACGAGACTGACCACACCATATGTTGGTGAGGGTATGGATGGGACAACTGAATGCTCATACAGTAATGGTAGGAGTAAAAATGGCACCACTTGGGAAAAATGTCTGGCAGTTTCTTATAAATCTAAACATATGATGTAGCAATTCCACCTCTAGT